TTTCACTCAGGTAAAAGTTGAACGAAGATTTATTTAGATGAAGATGTTCCAAAGTTGGTCCGTTTCTAAACGATAAAGTAAGTCTTGGGATATAAGGTATATTTTTACTCCCACAGGTTGGCTATAAATTTCTTGAAAAACTTACAGCTCCACACTTAAAATCAGTCGGTTGGAATGTTGCTGCGGAAAATTTATTAAATTTACACTTTTCCGCAAGGAGAGTTTTGCAAGATAAATTATCATAAACGACAATTAATCTTAAACCCAGTACGTAGTTCAATATTTCGCGTTTGTTTTAATTAAATGTTAGCCCTCTGCTAGCTTAATGTTTTTTGTTTATTATCAGAGTTTCGCACATTTTTAAATTAAATTACAGACCTTATATACTACGCTACGTATACACGGAACGAAAATGACGGTTTGAATAGTGACTTGTACGAGAGTAGCAAAGAGAAAATTCAGTTATTCATTTAGGTATTTATGGAAAAATTATTTATATAAAGAATGCAACATAACAATATAACCGATTATCGTAAGAGCTTCAACTCAGTTCTTTAGTTTTGTAAGCGATATGCAATTAACACTCGCATTCAATTTTCGCAAAGGAGGAAACCAACTAGACGACCTGATTCACGGCGGCGAAAATCCAGTAGGTACTGCAGATAAACGTTCACAAGTAAATACTTTACATTCGGGTCACCCGTCACTTTGTTTCCCCCACGTAATCCCGTGCGTTTATTTCGATTAAAGTTAAAATCTCCTGAATGAGTATTATAATTACAAGGACGCAAACAAGCAAATTTCATTATGCCATACTCTATCAAAAATTTCCAACAAGAAAGAATTTACATGATGTCAAATTATGCACTATTACATAACAGGTTCATATTAGCTACGGTCAAAATCAAAATAATAATTCAAAAATAAATTTCAAAGTCAAGCTGTAAGAAATTATTAACCCTCTAAGAAAATATTAAAGCCCCCATTTTCGAGTCCACGGTGAGAATAATTTAACTGATGATAATTCTCCGTTCTCTAAAAATGGTTCGATATTTAATATTAGTTTAAATGCTAAGAATGAATTATTACTAGACCGGGTGTCTGGAAAATGGCGGATTAATCCTTCAGTAGGTTATGTACGGCGGCAGTCCCAAAAAAAAATAATTCCTGCCTTGTGCATAAGTAAGCTTGTAATGTTTTCAAATTTGGATCATTTTTTGTAAAAGTTAGTCATCAGTACTTGCTAAGATAAAACTGATTAAGGAAAGAGAGGGTGGGTGGGCGGGGCTAGTAACTGTTGAGATAAGGGTGATTTTGGCAAATGCAATACCCTCTCAGGAAAGAGGGTGGGCGGGCGGGGCTAGTGCCTGTTAAGGTAAGGGTGATTTTGGTAAATGAGATACCCTGTAATAAAAGAGAAGACGGGTGGACGGGGATAGTACCTGGTAAGATAAAACTGATTTTGGCAAATGACATACCCTCTAAGAAAAGAGGGGATATATGGGTAAGGCTAGTAATCTGCTGTCTGTGTTTGTGTGAGTGCAGAGTGCAGAGTGGTTGATTTGTCAGGCTCCGTTCCTTGGTTGTTTAAACGTGGTAAAACTTAATATTATTCATCATATTTTGTTACTCTACACATTAAGGTGGTTCTCTGAATGGAGGCTAATATAATTCTCGTATTTAGTAATTAATAAGGCCACATCGTGCGATTTATTGTACTTTTTAAGAAGTGGACATAAAAACCGCTCTTATCTATCTATTATTATCAAAAGTAATTATCGGCGATCGGTGAGTGCACTCAACCACTTTAAATTTTAAATGTTAAATGTTAGATGTAGATATTTGGTTATTAAATAATGTCAAATTGTGGTAAATGTAAGTCCTCAAAAAAAGAGGGTTTGATTGGTTGCGAAGGATCGTGTAATAAATGGTTTCATCATACATGTGTAAATTTTTCTGAAACTGAATTCAAATTATTAGAAAAATGCAAAAACTTGTTCTTCATCTGTGATGTTTGCAAAATTAATTGTCAAATGGCTGAAAAATCCTATTTAAGTAACATAGAAAAAAATGTAAGTTCCATCAATGTTCAGATTGCTGAGCTTAATTAAAACAATGGGAAACAAGTTACAGAAATGATAGAAGGTTTTGAAAATTTGAAAAATGAATTAACATCTCCTCTTCCAGCACAAATTAATGAATTAAAGCTTTCAATCTCGAAACCTGAGAAAACTGATGATGAAACCACTTATGCTAAAGCCCTTAAACAAACATCAGCAATTATTTTTCAACCAAAGGATCAATCTCAAAGTGTATCGGCAACCAAATCTGATATCTTACGTAACGTTGATCCAGTAAAATCGGGTGTTTCAATAAGAAATACAAAAAATGGGCACAATGGAAGTTTAATTGTTTGATGCGATAAATCTGAAGATACAGAAAAAATTTCCAAACTTGCCAATGATAATAATTTGGGTGAAAAATACACAACTACCTGTTATCAATCCTCGTATTAGAATCGTTGGTATAACTGATGAAGAAATTACTACAGAAAATCTCTCTGATTATGTAATCCATCAAAAAAACCGATACCTCTTTATTGGTGAACCGTACTGTAAAGTAATTGATAAAATAGTACCGTTACGAAAAGACAAAAAAAGGTTTCAAGCTATCGTAGAAGTAAATCCGGCTACTTATGATAACATGATTAAAAAAGGTTACCTAATCGTTGGGTATGATGACTGTCTTGTATACGATGCAATATATATTAAAATCTGCTACCAGTGTTGTGGTTATCACCATTATCAGAAGCAATGCTCTCAAAAGCTACCTAGATGTCCTAGATGTTCTGGCTCCCATGATGTTAAAAATTGCAAATCCGAAACCTTACAATGCGTTAATTGCACATTACTGAACACTAAACAAAGTAGCAATCTATCGATAGATCATGCAGTTTGGGACTTTAACAAGTGTCACGCTTACCATAAAGCGAAAGCGGAATTTAAAACTAGCATTCTTTCAATTAAATAGCAATTAAGGACCTCATCTCCAGTTTCTAAATGTCCTAAGCGTATAGTAAATACCAGTAAATATTTAAATATTTATTACCAAAATGTAAGAGGTGTTAACACCAAAACCTCTGAAATTCTTCTTAACTCTACTTTGATGTCCCAGTATGACTTAATAATATTAACTGAAACCTGGTTAAATTCAAGCTCTTTTAATGGTGAATATTTTGATGTAGAACTCTTTAATGTATTGAGAAAAGATCGCGATTTTTCTACAACAGCAATGCGTAGAGGTGGTGGTGTTTTAATTGCAGCTAGGAAGGAGATAAAAGTCATAATGTTAGAGCTTGAACACTTTTACTATAGATTTGCTGAATTAAAACACATTGATATCATGTGGGTTAAAATTAAAGCAGAAGATCTTCATCAATGTCTACATATTATTGTTCTATACGTCCCACCTTCTTGTGGAGTTGATGATTATTCAATTCTTTTTGAGTCATTAATGTCTGTAAATGTTCTGTATAAGTCAAATATAATCGTGTTAGGTGATTTCAATATCCCTGAGTATATTAGCTGTTATTCGTCCAGTGTTATATCATCAGTAGGCGGGAATTTATCTTACGGATACAATTCCCCAGTTGAAGCAAGGTGTGTTTTACGGCGAGTAGCGGGGACGCTTTGATCTGGTCCACAAGGTCGTAGCCAGTGCGTCGCTTAGGAGTGTTTACAGCTTGTTAAAAAACTACTTCTATATTACTATATTACTTCAAAAAATAATACTCGATGTCCTTTTTAATTTTTCAAACACAGGACCACAGATTTGTGAACTTGAAATGTTATATTATGTTGATATAATCCAAAAGAAAAATATATTTGTAATCAAACTATCGCCGTGACAGCACTGGATCTAGCGTATGAAACACAATTCCGCCCGTTGTATATCATCCAACATCTGCTATGACTGTGACAATTTCAGCAAGTTTCTTGGTCTTTCCCAAAAAAATTTTGTTCTCAATTCTAATGAACGTCTTTTAGATCTTGTGTTTAGCAATACAGAGTGTCACGTAATTCATGCAGAGGAAGTGTTAACCCTAGAGGATGCGCATCATCCTGCCTTGGAAGTCAGTGTATGTCTCTTGAAGGAGAAAACAACTTGTATTCCAATCAAAACTCATGGTGAATTTAATTTTAAAAAAGCAGACTTTCCATCCCTATACTATCACTTATCCGAAGTTGATTTTTCGTTTTTAGATTCTGCAAAAGATGTCGATGGGGCTATTGAGTTATTTTACGACAAACTCCTAAATATTTTTCGGTTCCCAGTACTTCAATGCGTGAGAACAGTTTAGACAGCTTATATAAAAATATTATATATTTGACAGAGATTAATGAAGATGAAATTCGTAATGCCATTAAACAACTCAAACCTACGTTGACAGCTGGTCCAGATTGTATACCGTCATTTCTTATTAGTTATTAGAGATTGTGCGTCCATTTTCTGTAGGCCATTAAACATTATTTTCAATTTAATAATAAAAGAATCTTATTTCCCAATGAAGTGGAAAGTATCTCGGGTCGCACCAGTCCACAAGAAAAATAGTAGAAGCAACATTGCTAATTACCGTCCGATTACAATTATAAATAATTTTGCAAAAATATTCGAAATCGTACTTCATTCTCGTATCTCTAATCACGTCTCCACTTACCTATCTCCATCTCAACATGGGTTTGTTAAGGGAAAATCCACAGTCACTAATTTATTCTTAAAAACTCAGTTTATTTCAGAACGTCTAGATGCTCTAAGTCAAGTTGACTGTATATACACTGATTTTTCTAAGGCGTTTGATCGCATTGATCACAAAATCTTGTTGCATAAGTTACAAATATTTGGTTTTTCAAACAACTTACTTAACCTTCTTACATCCTATTTGCATCAAAGACATCAATGTTTGCTATCGTGGATACCGTTCCAACAAATTTTTGCAATCGTCAGGCGTACCACAGGGTTCTGTGCTGGGTCCTCTGCTCTTTAATATATGTATAAATAATGTCGTTAACGAACTTGATGTAAGGCATTTGCTGTATGCCGATGATTTAAAAATTTTCTGTGAAATTAAAACAGTTGAGGACTGCTTACACCTTCAGGAAAATCTCAGTAAATTGTGGAATTGGTCAATTAACAATCAGCTTTTGCTAAACAAGGACAAATGCTTTGTAAAATCTTTCTATAGAAAACTTGATCCAATAATTTATGACTATGCACTTGATAATTCAATACTAGAAAGGCCTGACTATATTTATGATCTGGGTGTCAATTATGATACAAAGCTAAAATTTGATAAACATATCGAAAAAGTCGCGTCATCTGCTTACAAGACACTTGGTCTTGTCATCCGAAACTCCGGTGCCTTTCAGAGTAAAGATATCTTAAAACCACTTTATTTTGCGTATGTCCGATCTCGACTTGAGTATTCTTCCATTATATTTATTTAGTCCCATATATCAAGTTCACATTTCTGCTTTAGAGAAAATCCAACGTAGGTTTCTGAAATTTTTGGGTTTTCTCGAGGATGGTACTTACCCACTTAGAGGAATTCCAAATGATATACTCCTCAGACGCTTCAACTTGCAGAGTCTTTCTTGTCGTAGGACTGTTGCCTTTATTATTATGCTAAGAAACATTTTGAATTCAATAGTAAACTGTGAAGATATATTAAACCTTTTATATTTTAGAGCACCGACAACTAGCCTAAGATTTAACTCTTTAATAAAGGCACCCTTTCCTAAGACTAATATAATGAAATCTTCACCATTATTTCAGATGCTACACAGCTACGCTAACGTTGAAAATCATCTTGACATATTCTGCTGCGCAGTCAGAGATATAAATAGTATATTATTAGCCAAGGTTGCAGAGCCAAGCATTCTAGACCGAGCGCAAATTAGAACTCGAGACGCGCAGCGTCGAGGGCTCTGAAGCGCGAGGTCTAGAAGTGGCTTTGCAACCGTGGTTAATATACTATTTTTTTCACTAGCAGCCATGAAGCATGCAAATGTCGACTCATTTAGAGGTAGCAAATTCAACCTTTGGAACCACGGGTTCAAAAAGACGATTGAGGTTATGTACGCAAACTTGATGTGATTATATTTCTTAGAAAATGAATAAATGTGTGCTACTAACATTACTTGAATATACGCATGGTGGTTGGTAGAAGGTAGAAGAAGAAATGATTAATTCGGCGACAAGCGTAAACGGTTTTCTTTGTGTTGAAGATTTAGATTAAGTTTGATTAGAAATCAAAACAAAATCATGTTGCGTCAAAAAATTTAACGTTTATTTTTTCAATTTATTGTCTTATGGTTTCTACTAGTGAACAAAATAGTATATTAACCACGGTTGCAAAGCCACTTCTAGACCTCGCGCTTCAGAGCCCTCGACGCTGCGCGTCTCGGGTTCTAATTTGCGCTCGGTCTAGAATACTTGGCTTTGCAACCTTGGCTAATAATGTATTATTACTGATGCTTATAACATATAGTTTTTGCAGATAGAAGTTAGATTATGAACATGAAAAAAAAATACAATAATAAAACTAAATATAACAAATAAAATCATACTTATTGCATAGGTATTCATCAAAGTTATAAAATGCCTTCTTTATTACAAATTTCTTTAATAAATGTTTAAAAGTCTTAAACGACAAACTCGGCACATTCTTAAGCAATTTATTGAAAAATTTAATTCCATAATAGTCGACTCCAGTTTGTGATTTATACAAACGTAGCTTAGATTTACAAATTGGTGTTGACAGTCTTCTCTATAACCCTGCAATTACCCTGATCGCTTTACGTTGCATTTTAAAAATTCTATTTCGAATGCATGAATGACCCCAAACCAATAATCCATTCGAGATATGTGTGTGGCATAACGCAAAATACGCAGTACGTAGTGTACCAGCTGGAACTCTACAAGATAGATTGCGTAATAAAAATATACCCTTACTATTTTTTTTTACAATTAATTCTTCGTCATTCTTCCATTGAAGGGTACTGTCAATATGCAAACTTAAAAATGTTATTTTTTGATTAAATTCATCACATATCGATTTTTTTAATGAAAATGACATATTGGCAGTTTTATCTTGATTTAAAGTTAAGCAGTTTGCATTGACCCATCCGTAGGCTTTTGATTGCATCATCTTCCATTGATTAATAGTGGCATCAAGAGTGGATTCTGTATTAATCAAAGTAGGATCATCGGCGAAAAGTAAAATTTGACTTTCCATGATTGCAGGAAAATCGTTGATGAAATATAGGAACAATATAGGGGTCTTGTGGCACACCATGATGAACTCTAAGACATTTAGAATTTATATTTCCCGATGATACTATTTGATAGTGGTTTTCAATGAATGATGCCATCAGATTACAATTATTATCACTAATATTGTACTTACGAATTTTGATGAGTAAAATACCATGGGGTACGTAATCAAAAGCCTTACTGAGGTCCATGCATTTTTAGTGCTGCGTTCCTTTCGAAATTCATATTGAAAGTTCGAAAATAAATTATTTTTTTCAAAATAGGAATATATTTTGCGTATGCAAAACTTTGTCAAAAATTTTGGAAAATACAGGCAATATGGATATCGGTCTGTAGTTGTTTTTAAACAATCGGGGAACACTGAGGCTCGTATGCAACAATTTATGAGCCGAGTAAGAGGAGTAATGATAATATCCTTGACAGTTTTTATTACGACTACGTTCAAGTCAAAAATATCTTTGGAACTAGTATTTTTCAGTTTATCGATAACTTCTCTTACTGTTGCTGTAGATACTTCATTAAAACAGCAAATGTTGACTAGACCAAACGACAAAAGACTATAATTTGACATTAAATTTAAAAGGGTATCACAGGTTTTTTGTATATTATTTTAATTAATTAATTAATAGTTTATTAACGGAAAACTCCAATTACATAAGAAAAGAAATATAAATAATTTTTAAATATCTTAACTTATAACTAAAAAACAAATACAAAATAGATAAAAAAAAAATTAATAAATAGATAAACTGGTGAATATATTCCTTGATACAGATATTAGCATGCATAAAAAAAAAAACTTAATGTCGGTAATAAAAAGTAATTTTATTCTTGAATACCACTTTGGAAGAACTAAATAAACAAACTTCTTTGCGTTTGATATAACCATTCGCAGCCTCCATAATTCTTCTTAAAGGGTGATTAGCAGAGAAATTAGTTGTCGCAGGAGGAATCCTAAAAATAGATAGGTTACGTGTAGATCGACTGTCAACTGCCGGGACGACGAAGGACAACTTAGCCAACAAATCTGGATTGTCAATATAGCCATTAATAATCCCATGAAGAACGCAAGCATCAGCAATCTGTCTTCGAACACTCAATGTTTGGATGTTAAATTTATTCATAATCCATTGGTAATCACCTTTATTGTGCCTACGGCCTAGCTTATATTCTAAAGTGCGGAGAAATCTTTTTTGCACTTTTTCCAACAGTTCAGAATCAACATGGTAGATGAAGGAAGATCCTTACAATTACGCCAAATGAGTCCCCATATTTGCAAAGATTTTTTGAAAATATACGAATAATGAGATTTGAAGGAAAGAGCAGAGTCAAATATTACCCCCAAATCTTTAATTTCTGAAATACGAGACACAGAATGATTATTTAATTGATAGTCAAACTCAATGAAAGATTTCGTATTATAAAATGAAATTAAGGAACACTTTTTTAGATTTAAAGGTAGCCAATTTTTATCACACCAATCAATTAAAGACTCTAAATCAAGTTGAAGTTTTTCAGCATCCACAGTAAAACGTATGTTTTTAAAAAGTTTCAAATCATCAGCATAAAAAAGATAATTACAATGACGAAAACAACTAGTCAAATCATTGATGAATAATAGGAAAAGTATAGGACCACAGTGTGTACCTTGCGGTACACCAGAAGAAACATCAAAATGATCAGAAATGTATTTACCAATGCGGACCTGTTGTTTTCTGTCCGTAAGAAAAGAGGTTAGCCAACTAATTGTCAAATCTGTAAACCCTAATTTTCGCAATTTCAAAATTAATAATCTATGGTTAACACGATCGAACGCTTTGGCGAAGTCTGTATAAATAGAATCAACTTGAGATCGACAGCTGATAGATTCATTAAGAAAAGAATAATATTCTAATAAATTAGACATTGTCGATCTGTGGCTGCGAAAACCATGTTGTTTAGAAGAGATTATAAATGAAGATGTCCACTGCAGTTGAGAAGATACAATACTGTCTAGAAGTTTGGGATCTACTGATTGATTGCAGACTCCTCTATAGTCATCAATACGTTGTCGCTGTCCAGATTTAAAGACCGGAATAATGTAACTGTTCTTCCATGCATGAGGGAAAATACCCAAATTTAAAGAAGTTTTAAACAAAATAAACAGTGGCAGCGAAAGAGTATAGTTGCAATTCTTTAAAACGACGCTAGGAATTCCATCAGGTCCACTATTGCAAGACAGATACAAAGCCGAAATATGTTCAAAAACAATTGAAAGAGTAACGCTTAAACCATTATCATTCACCTGCAAAGGCACTTCAAAATCGCATAAAAATTTTCTTGAATCATCTTTCACATAAACTGAAGAAAAATACTTCGCAAAAAGGTCAGGTATTTGTTTTCCTCCTTTAGCAACTTCTTGATTCAGACACATCTCATTAGGTATCATATCATTGTTTCTCTTGTCTCGAATGAACTTCCAAAAAAATTTTGGGTTGTTAGAAATACTCAAGTTAACTTTAGAAACGTAGGCCGAATACAGTTGTCTACTCAATTCTTTGCAACGAGATCTTAAATTTTTAAAGTGCAGGTAATCCTCCAACTTTCCAGATTTCTTATAATGGTAATGCGCAGACTTTTTCATAACACATAAATCTTTGAGTTCCTTGGTAAACCATTTTGGAAATGTTTGAGCACTATTTATTACTACCTGGAATATACAATTTGAAACCAGCAAATATAATGTCATAAAATACAGATACCATTTCGTCTATCGTAAGACCAGACCATATAGAATCCCACCGTACAGAAGCAAAAAAATTATTTAAAAGATTGTAATTACCTTTAGCAAAGTCAAAACGTCGAGTCTCAGAATACACTGGAAAAAGAGAAGTAGATGGCACGCACCATTCATATGGAAAATGATGAACTGACGCAGGAAATATAGGATCAATGGCAATACTAATATCCAAACTAACAATATTGGAAAAAACCAGATCTAGAAAGACATTTCTACTATTAGGGATCTTGTTTAGTTGTTCTAAGTTCATAAAAGCAGTAGTGTAAGAAATTACATTATAATAATCACGAGAACCAGAAAGTGCATTGTTTTGAATGTTGCCTAAATCCCACCTAAGTTGGGGTAAATTAAAATCACCCACAATAATATAAGAAGACTCCGTAAATTTTTCGAAAATAGATTCCAAATCACAACAATAATCCTCAAACACATTTAGTGGAGAAGCCGGAGGTATATATACACCACAAACAATCAGGTTTAATTCGTTATGGTATATGTGGACATAAATACTTTCAACCGAATTACCAGTTAAAATAAGAGACGAATGAATATAACTTTTCACAGCGATTAGCACACCGCCACCCCTAACTTTGTTGCTAGTATTAACATCTCGATCAGCACGGAAAACATTATAATCACTTAAAAGTAATTCCTCATTAGCAATATTACTACAGAGCCAAGTTTCAGAAATAATGATCACATCATATACACCGGAATTAACACTTAACGAAAAATCATTTAACTTCGTCCTAATACCGCCTGCATTCTGATAAAAAAAATTTAATACTTTTTTGAGGAATTATTTTGCGAATTAAACTTTTTAGTGATATAAAGGATGTTATTCTTGTACCTTATTTAACAGACTAGGAGCAATATTGGTAAAATAAGAGTTAAAATTATCACAGGAAATGTCACAGCCTTGGATATTATCACAGGTCCTTCCATTATTCAGTTTGTTGCGAGATTCATTGGTTATTTGCAACATTGCTTTAGACTTATTGCTTGCAGTATCGATGAATTGACTATTTATTACAGCTTAATTTTGCTAATTTAAGTTTATCGCGATAAAACTGACAACAGATGAAAATTGCCATGTCCAAGCATTACCTTCAGGTTTGCAGTTTCTAGATATCTGAAACATGTCAGATCTGTGTAACCAGAATGCCAAAAAAATTCTACTCAAAACACGCCCACATGACCATGTTAACATCAAGATTTTCCAAATTTCTATAACAAAAAAGATGAAAAAAACAATAAAATTTCAGGAGCGTAGTATTAAGAGTTCTGTAGACGATTACGACACCTCCTGAGACAACAGAATGTTTAATAAAGATTTTTAACCTTCCTAATAGTAAAGTTACAATTATTACTAAAGAGTAAGTTGAATTAAGTTTTATTTTAAGGGAATGATATTACCACAGAAAGAAAAATGAAAGTTACTGAAGATAAAAAACTTTATTGCAGTACGTACATACACTTTTTACATCCAATTTTATTTATTGATCACATTCATTTACTTAGCATAAATGTTATAAAATGTAAAATACACATGTATGTACCTCATAAAAGATGTTGAATCTGTTGTCCATTTTCCCGCAAACGCAAAGTCACTCGTCTTTTTTTATTTTCAAAAACGTGCTGCAACACTTCTTCATTAAGATTTTCGTTACAAAAACGTGTAATTGTATCCATTAATTCTTCCAATGTGTGGACTCTATTCTTATAAACGCTCTCCTCCATCCTTCCAAATACTGAAAAATCAAGTGGGGTCAAGTCAGAAGATCCGGATGACGACTCTGGATTGGCTCTTAAACTTTTTATGCGGTCGCCATAAAATTCTTCCAAATATTTTAAATTTTCTGTTGTCGCATGAGCTGTAGCACCATCTTGATGAAAATAACCGGATTCTAATTCTTCGCGCAATAACTGATTCACAAACACATCCAAAATTTGTTACCTGTATCTCGTCGCATTAATTGTCTCTTGAAAAAATATCAGGCCTATGAATTATCGTCTGGAAACAGCTAACCACACACCAACCTACACTGAGTGTAATGGTGTGTCTTCAAAAGCGTGAAGATTTCTCTGTACTTCAAATTCTGAATTTCTGTGAGTTGACGTAGTCTGACAGATGAAAGCAGGCTGAAACAGGATATTTCGCCAGATACTCGTCTTTACCTGCATCCATACACTACACCCAGTCCCCTTTTTCATTTAACACCCCATTACGGTAACAGGACATGGTGATGAATGTGTTTTGCTCCAAAGAATAACCCATCCTAACCTAAAAAAGTCATTTGTAACACTGAGCATAGTCATTCCTCCGTGTTCATCACCTGAGATTATTCCACAATGATCTGAAGTTTTGATAAAAACTGTTTTTTGAGACACTTAAAGTTCGAACAAAGGGGAAGACAGCAAATGAAAACAACAAAGCAAGTCAATTAGCGCACAAAGTGTGGGAAAACGCACTAGTAATCAGTAAAAACGAAAACATTATGGACATCCGACAGAATCTGTTGAAGCGTTGGCGCCGAAACAGTGCAGCCACTAATGTAGCGTTAAAATTAAAAAATCCAATATTAGTGTAATCGTTTCCACAAAATTGTGAAAGGCGGCACACAATGTCAACAAAATAATGGCCTTCTTTGACTACAATACTTTATGACGACCCTGAATTTTTATAATTTATACGATATATTTATTTTTGAATGCCTAAAATTATTTTGCCCCGACAGGGAATAGAAGCTATTTATGATGATGCCAAAATGGAGAACAGAGATCAAGTATGATTCCTAAGGGAAAAAAGATTCAAAGAAATTCCCCAGAGGGTTTTTATTATGCGTTACTGTTTTACAATAAATTATTAAAAGCAATTGCAAGAACACGAGTAAACTCCTTATGATTGTTAGAAGTCACGTTAACATTTTTCTTAACTTGTAATATTTTATTTGTTATATTAGTTTTAATTTTAGCTTATTTCTGGTCTGCGTGGCGCTTGGTAGTTACAATATCGGTATCAACAGCGGCAAAAAGAATTGCAGAAGATCTACGCAGACAGTGACCCGTATATAATTTTACATTAAATGTATCCAAGAAAATAACCACCGTATTTGCTTTTTTTCTCGTCTGGGTGTAGGGTACATTTTACTGCATTGTAGAATAAAAAAAAGTGGGATGGGGGGGGGACGGAATTCAGGTTACTGGAGACTAAGGATATACACACTGCCTTCACTACTGGCAACTATAAAAATATTCTTGGGATTTTGTTCGTTATGTAAGGAATATTAATGGTTATTCCACGTTTTTAGTATCGTCAACTTATAATTATGCCCACGAAATACTAAAGTACTAAATCCCACTATCTATTAAAATATTAATATACATCCGGAACGCAATAAATTCCTTTAAATATTTTTACCTTTATCATAGTTAAGCAAATTTGATTGAGAGCACCATTCTGTAAAACGATTGTACGTTTATTCGTATAGCTTTCTATTTTTTGCAAAAGTTGTTATATATTTTTTTGTGTTTCTGAGAGTACCTACTTCGTATACCTTCTTTAAATAATATTTATCGTTTCATGACATAACAAACAATCATTATTAATATTATTATTATTATTATTTATCTGCCAGCCGAATTTGCTAGCCTCCCGGGTCTTACTCTTGCCATTTTGACGTATGCTTTGTATTTTAATTATTATTATTTCTATTATCCACTTTGGGTCGCATATATCCTTCACGACCCTAATCGTTCACAGACTTGTTAAAACGAACCGAGTCCAAACAGCATCCCCTACGGCAACCCGTTACAAGAAAATAAATAACATCGGCTCATGCTATTTTCGGGTTAATTTCGGAGAAAATGGTTTTCTGGTGATTCCCCCGGGGAGTAGGTACGCTTTGTCATATACACGAAGGTCACGGCGGTTAACAGTTTATTTTGAAAAAAGCAGGTCTTCTAAGGCGTCGTGATACACGTATCTGTCACACTAAGACCTCGACGGAACGTGTTCACGATAAATTAACTCCATCGCCACGAAGACAGCTGCAGTCGCTCGAGGCGAGTGCAGACCCGAGAAAATATTTTTTTGACGTCGGCTAACACAAGTGAAATTAATTTAAGAAAGGAGGTGGCACGTACCTGATGATAAAGTCATTAACGTGATAATCGTGCTAAATGGTAATTTCTGCTTGAACGAGGTTTTATAGGCCGGAGTAAGCGAATTTTTTGGAATCTGGGGTAGAGGCTAAGGGAAAGAGAAGGTATAATTTTGGAGGGATTATGGGGCTTTGTAGTGGCAAATATCGTGGATGTTTTAGATACTAATAAAACGCATATTTTAAGCAATTATATACGGAATAATAGTTTAGAACAGTGAATACCGACGGAGGGTGAAGTGCGTTGTTGCCGTTGAGAGGGTTTGTGTTCAGTATAATTGAGAGATGTACGAAGAATTGATATCAATTTTTAATTTTACCTATGATAATTTTACGTAAACTTAACATACGTGTTGTACATAGAGTGATTTATATATATTAATTTTATCTATTCACGCCTGACAATTTTTGCAGTTTTTTTTAATAAGCAATTATATTTTGCTGGGAATAGTAATGTGAATTGTGTCTGTTTACGCACCCGTTATTGGTAAATGTGGCTTCATCCGTAAACAAAACGTTAAATAAAAAATCTTAATCGTCTCGTAATTGAACTCTCACGAATTCGCAAAACACTAACTGTCGGAAAAAATCGCGTTCTGTTAAATTTTGGACAATTGTCACATGGTATGGCTGAAACCGGTTTGCCTTTAAGATGTTGAAAACCGAACCCAAACTAATCTCCATTTGTCTTGCAATCTGTCTTTGACTCACGTGGGGATTTTCTGCTACAATTTCACTTAGAGCAGCTTCATTATCCGGCGTTGTTACAGTTCGATTTCTAACTTTTTTTTTTTTGAATTACCCAAATTCTCGTAAATTTATTTCAAGTTTTCTAAACGCTTGATTTGAGGGAGTTCTTCTATTGGGATATTGCCCGGCGTAGAGACGAACAGCAACATCAACATTTTTGTCACTTTCCCAATATTAATAGCATCTCTGTTTTTTCAGAATTCGAAAACATTTTAAATCAAACGAAAATTGAAAATATTTGGCTGACAGAAATAATTTGTCATAGTTTTAGTTCTGATCATTGCTATCTGTGCGTTCAGTATTATTTAAAAATAAAAATTAATCAAAGCTGTTTATGAAACGTAAAATGCAGAAATATTCAGACATGAACAGATAAAGTTAACACCCTGTATAGAAGCAACAGAAATAAGAGAGATCAGTTTCATTCGTAATTGAAACTTTCAACACTGCAATGTCGGTTCAGTGCGTTTTCATTATTGAGTTAACTTGAGCTGTCTACGAAAACTTTTTCAAATGAGAAAATCTTAAGAATCCTCATGTGTTAAGAAAAATAAAGGAAATAGTTGCTTAGCAGTGTACAAGAGATCATGTACCAAACAGCACACTACTTTGTTCCGAAACATTACAATTTTAAAATTCAATATAAAACAAACGTATCGAACTGGTGCATCGCGTGTCAGTGCGTATCCTTTAGGTATATTTTCCATAGTAGTGTTTTGTGAAAAATTTGAAAAGTCGACGTGCGTGATTGATTGATTAGTGGACCTCTCTATTCTGAAAATTGCAGAAGGTTTGGATTCATACCTGTGGAAGGTAACACCTCCAACCTCATTGTTTTAATCAGCAGCGGTTTTCTTGTAAAAACGCTCTAATAACTTTCCGGTTTTTCTCCTTGCTGAAGTTGGCAGCCAGTTATACGATGAACGTGTTTTGGTTACAATCTATATATTTACCAATTTAACAGTCAACCATGAGTACTTCATCTTCTTCTAATTCTCAACTGCAATTCCCTAAGAAAGATCAAGCCATCATCCTCAATGCAATCAACGACAACAAACTAACTGATTATGTTGTTGCTGTTGGCAACATAGTTCAACCAAAGAATGTTCTTTTTGCCTCCAGGATTTCGAACAATCGAATATGTATTTACCTCAAGGAAAAATCATTAGTAGATGAGTTAGTTTCAAAACATCCGAATTTAACGATTAATGACCAAGAAGTTGGCATT